ACCTGCACTAAGAATCATAATAGCTGAATGGATTCAGAACATGAACCGTTAGGTTAAATCTTCTGCTTTACCATAAGATAAGCTGTTAAGTGCTGGAAGATAAAATTCTGAGCCTGGGAACTCAAGCATAGATTCATTCAATTATGCACTATCCAGCCTACGAGCCAGAGGTAATGATTAGAACTGAACATGACTCCTCCATATCTCAAGTGAACCCAAAAGAGCAATCCCATGCCACCTGGAACCTTGTTCTTGTGGCCGGCATAGCTTCCAACATTTTACAGAGAAAAACGTATGTCCACAATGGCAACAGTTATTAATGAGAATAAGCTGATCAGATAGGAGAGGGTGTAGCAGTTTGCTTTTTGCCTGAGCTGACTGTGAAGGGCAAAATCCTCCCCTCTCCCATTACTGAATTAAGTGTACACTGCTTTTGCACTTTGAAATCAGTCTACAGCAATGGAAGTAACCTGAGATCAAAGGAAAAAGTGGGAGGAAGGAAAAGAAACTAGGGACATTTTGAAAACATGACTAAGTGAGATGACAGACAATTAATTAGGATTATTCTTGCCAAACTGGTACAGTTGAAGGATGTGAGCTGGTGCACCCACCTTAGGTAACCATTGCACTTCATGAACCCAAGTGCCAGATAATAATACTTCAAATTTCTTTCTGTCTCACACTTCTTCTCTATCCCTGAAAAGCACAGAGATATCAAGCAAGAAGGCTGATCTAGAATTCCTGTACAAATACACAGGTTGGTTTAAGTGTTATGATGTTCATGAAAGAAGCTTAGGAATTCCATTTTTGTGCTAAAAAGCTTATGTTAGCACCTCTTAATCTGCTACACAGAACTAGATTTCCCTGTACAGATGGAATGTCTATGAAACCAGTTTAAATTTGAAGTCATAAAATAGTATGTTAGACTTGTCCTAAAACTATACTCCTGTGTTTAAACCAAGCCGTTCGGTTTCCCAATGACAACAGCATTAAATAAATGAGAATGGGTTGTTCTCACACCACATCCTTTACTCTGATTCACTATGGTCTTAAGAGTAAGGAAGAAGTTATCCTGTGATTTGTTGTTAACTGCTGTTAAGCCAACTCGAACACATTGGCCTCATGAATGAAAGACCTCTAAGTCACCTTATCATCAACAGTCCTGTTCAGGTCTTGTAACCCCAGGGCATGCTTGATTGAGTCTATGCATCTTTTCTTACTATCTAGCATTGTTGTCTTTTCTAGGGATTCATTTCATGATATGGTTGAAGTACAACACTCTTGGTTTGGTCACCTTACCTTCTAGGGAGAGTTCAAGCTTTTGTTTGAGGACACATTTATGTATATCTTCTTTTAGAAGTCTGCAGTATCAGTAGAATTCTTCTTCCCATAGTTAGGCTCCCAACTCTCTGCACTAATTATATATCCACTTTGTCTCGGCTCCCTCAAGTACCATAAGACTTTCTTCCTTGAAAGAACACAGGTAAGTGTCACCTAGGCAACAGGACCTGCATGATACTTTTAAGATGAGAGAATCAAGGCCGCTGGCACAAACCACAGTTGCCTCAGCAACCCAACCATGCCAGGACTACTTCAGCTACCTTCTTGGTCTTGCTACAGCACATCTGAGCCACTCCTGGCTTTGATGCTCTTTCCTCACTAAGATCTTTCAAGAGTCTCGACTGAGACGGTAATGCCCAAGGTTTTAAGCTGCTTTCAATATCTGTGTGGCTTCATTAGATGAAAATCTTGGGAAAAGAAGTGTAAGACACCGAGGCCCAAAGAACTGCAACATCTGGCTTCTTTGCTATTTGCACTACTATTATGTTGATCTATTTACAGTAAAACATCTGCTAAGTCCTGGCAAAAATTATGACAATGCATTTTAAAAACAGAAACGTCTAATTCTTTGTTATTGTTGAAACTGAGATTTCACTTAAAATCTATCATTACTGGAAGACACATACACACTTGGCATTTCCCACCATAATTAAGTGAATAAGACTTTAGTAACCTTGGGCTTTTCAAAATGTTTCTAAATAGCTCTCTTTTATCTTACAAAATTGAAGTAACACCTAACAAACTATATGTCTATTAAAGGATACATTTTTAGTGAATTCAAATTTGAAGATGCAGATTAATAATAACAAATAACACTGATAATGCTAAGCTTTTAAAAAGCTTTTTAAAATAGAACATTTTCTCACACTATTGAAATCCCATACATGTCTACATGGAAAAAGTATACACTGATATTATACACTAGTCCTGCAAGGAATGCTTGTTTTAGACCTGTGTTTTACATAGAGGATTCAACCTCTGAGGTGTCTGTTAATTATATAAGTTTGTTAATTATTTCCGAAATATCCAACAAGGAGTTAAACAAAAGGCTGTTTATTTTCACTCAAAAGAAAAATGCCTGGTTTTTCTTAAACTCTGCATGGAGGGAAGGGTTCTTCAAAAATATTTATATTAATCTTAGTGCCTTCTTTCACAACAGTATTTCTACTACCTTCAGTTCACCTACAGCTTGAAAAGTATGTCAAGCAGTCATCCCTTCAGGTGATTTATACAGTGATGCTGACTTTGTGATGCCTGGAGGACCAGAGCATCAACCTGACTCTGCTTAACTGGGAAAAGGGTGAGCGCTTGCCCGCTCAACTCATCAATCATTTGAACTGCTTGCCAGCTGAAAACAAGAACTTTAGAGGTCTTGGTGTTAGTGGTGTGTGTGTGTTTTAAAACAACTCCTCTGAACAAACAATTAGCTTGATACTTACTCTTAGGGTGATCCCAGGGCATTTTTATATGAGATGGAACATTATGTGGCATTGACACTCACAGGTTTTTGGATCACAACTTTTAAGCCTCTAGTCCTACTGGCTGGGAGTGTAGGTCTTGCAGTCTCCAAAAAGCAACTTTCCCCAGAAATCCCACCCACTTAAGTCATGTAAAGGGTTAATTTGCATAAACTTTAAAATCTAAGCTATTTTTGAGAGTTTGAGTGGTGTAATGGTCTGAGCATTGGACTACAACTCTGGAGACTAGCTCAGCCACAGAATCCCACTGGACGATGTTGGGCAAACAACATTATCTCATCCTTTGAACAACCCTCCTCTAAACAAATCTTGTTGACATAACATCAAGAAAACCAGAAATCAGCAACAACAAAAAGACACAACAACAACAACAACAACAGCAACAACAACAACAACAACAAAGTTGTTTTGGCTCATGAGTCAATAATTCCACAAATATCTTAACTCCATCATTAACAACAAAAATAAAATAATTTAAATAAATAAATAAAGCATTACAAAATATCCATAATCTGTTCCCTGAAATGACCACCAAACTTTGCCTAAATGTAAAGCTGACAACATTCACCTCTCATTCACCTCTCTTTACCAAGATGCTTTTTCCTCTACTGTTTTCCCACTCAAAGAGCCTGGAAATGTCACTTTGTCAACTTGATTTCCCAGAATCCACAAATCAGCACAGCCACTGGCCATGCTGTTTGAGTGACTTTGGGATTTGTAACCCAAAAGTGATACTTGCATGTGCCATCCTTTACATTTGGATGGGTATAGTGGCCAGCAGAAACCAGGAGTCTTGAGATCATGGGACTTGTAGTCATGCCCCATGCAGCAGGAGGTGTGGAGGCTTTGAAAGGGGGTGAATTCATAGAATAATAGAGTTGTATGAGACCACATGGGCTATCTAGTCCAACCCCCTGCCATACAGGAAAAGCACAATCAAAGCACCCTTAACAGATGGCCATCCAGCCTCTGTTTAAAAGCTTCCAAGGAAGGAGCTTCATCAGTGTTGGCTTTTAAAAAACGCTGTCCAAGGTGCTGAATCTATTTTGAGTATCACATTTCAGTGAGAAGCTGCAGTCCTCACTTCCTCTCCCAAAATATTGTCAAAGAAGCTCACTTGGGCTGAAAAACCTCATGTGCAACAGAGCTAGCTTTCCATACTTTAAAGGAATGAATCCATATTGCCATTTGTAAGGGAGGTTTCCCTTAGGACCATTAAATCCAACAGTCTAAAATTACCTAACCGCTTCACTGGGAGTAACAGGGGAATGTAAGGAGAAGGAAAGTGAGAGCCATTCTGAGTTTGGTTCATCGTAACAAGAAACTAGACCAAACTTGAAACAGAGTCATTTAAGTGAGGGGGGTAGGGGAGATCACATTCTCCCTACTCTCACTTCACTGAGTGCCCTCCCTCTGGGTTCTTAACAGAATCATTGTAGTACATGTTCAAGAAGTGCAACATGCTCCAAAAGTTATACATGCCAAGACACACAATAATAGCTTGAAAAAATGGGGATTGCTTTGCCCACCAGTGGAAGTGACAGTAAATGGACATCCACTTCTAGGCACCATATAAAAGAGGAATAAGTGTGCCTCTGCTTTGCTGCCTTGGAACATACTACCTAAACACATGCAATACACACATCTATTCTGGGCAATACATTTCCCACTCTACTTAGTTCAGCTGTAGCAAGAAAAGCAAATGAGCAAGTCCCCAGTGTATCTACTTTACTTGCCAAAACCCTACTTTCAGTGGCACAGATTGCCCTGATCAGTTCACATCCTTTTCCAATATCTATCATGCAGCTGGATACACTGCAAGAAGAATAACACTGACAACAATATTGATAGGTTTTTTTCCAAAAGGATTACATAGTTATCATCCATATTGCACCTGATTTCGGAACATTGCCTCACATTAGATTCCTATTGTTGCTATTTTATCAGTGAGAAAATTGAGGACTATACATTTGTGTGGTCCTCGATTCTGATTTGCCCAAATCCAACATACTATATATGAAATCCCATAATGTCCTCAGTAAGTATGTATTGAGATCTTTTCTCTTTATTCCTTTTTTAACACAGTATCATTCAGATAACGCATTTAGAAAATGTGAAGGAAATATGTACAAGTCTAGTAAAAGGAGCTTTAAGGAAAAATATATATTTGTGGTAACTTACCCAAAATGACTGACTAAATTCATGGAAAAGCAGAGCAGGAAGCAGTTTTTGATCATGATAAAACCAGAGAGCATCCCATTGTCCATTCCCAGTGAAATTATTAATAGAAGCAGCTGACTTTGCAGGGGTGTACCTCTGCCACCTTTGTTCTGGAGCTGCAGCAGATAAGAGAGGCAGAGACGCACATTAAGGGTTCACCCAAGACATTAAGCTGGTCACCTACCAAGCATTAAGCCATTTGATGAGACAATTGAGGAGTTATGCAAAACATTCCAACAACTCCAAACCACTGAGAGGTGAAATTTCAGCTGTGCAAGCATCTTTCCATATGGGGGACACAGAAACAAACTTAGAGCTGCTTAAATACTGAAAACCAGTGACTACGTAATTGAATTACTTTCCATAGATAGGTTAACATAAAAGGTGTGCTTGAGCTATGAATTGCAAACACACCTGGAAGATATAGAAATCTCCAGATCTTATACAACTGATGTGTGGGGAAAAAAACTAAATCTGTAATAATGTGTTGTCGAAGGTTTCATGACTGGAATCACTAGGCTGCTGTGAGTTTTCCAGGCTGTATGGCTATGTTCCAGAATCATTCTCTCCTGATGTTTCACCCACATCTATGGTAGGCATCCTCAGAGGCTGAGGGGTCTGTATGGTCATGTTCCAGAAACATTCTCTCTTGACGTTTTGCCCACCTCTATGGCAAGCATCCTGAGATGTTATGATGTCTGTTGTTAACCTCACAACCTCTGAGGATGCCTGACATAGATGTGGGTGTAACGTCAGGTGAGAATGCTTCTGGAACATGGCCATGCAGCCTGGAAAACTCACAGCAACCCAGTAAATCTGTAGTGTTTTCTTTCTTGTTCTATCTCTATGCAGTCATTCACAGGATCATGTTTTCCCAAAAAATGTCAGCAGCAAAAGAAATCCAGGGTGCAAATAAGTAGAGCAACCATCTGTGAGGCAAAGGCCTTCTTTCCTTTAAAGTGAACCCTCTCAAGGCACACTTGTCCAGATGGGACACATGCTGGCATTGAATCTGCTTGGCGGTGGCACGGCAGCAATGCCTGCTTCACAAGATCGACCGGCATGCCTTGGAAAGCTGCCTGCCTGCCTGTGTGATTCAAAAAGCTAAACTGGAGGGCAATATTTCACTCCTTGATGTGGGACAGATGAGGCAGAAGAAAGGCAGCAAACTCTTGCTTTGAAAACTCTCAGAAATAGGGAATTCCCTCCCAGAATGGAAGGGAAAAGAGCATAGCCCTCTTACCCATGTGCATATTTTTCAGTGGCCTGGATGTAGAGAACAAGCCGAGTGACAACATGAAAGACCATAAATATGACCTGTAAGAAAATCAATGTTGGTGCAGATGCAACAAAAGTCATCGCAATGTTCGGTCTTGGACCATGAATGATAGACTACGTCCTCTTTTCTAAAAAATGAATATAGGTTTTGTTTTTTTTCATGTCAGGAGAGACTTGAGAAACTGAAGGGTTGCTTCTGGTGTGAGAGAATTGGCTGTCTGCAAGAACATTGCCCATTGGACACCTGGATGTTTTACTATCCTATGGAAGGCTTCTTTCATGTCCATATGGGGCATGTGGAGCTGGATCTGACAGATGGGAGCTCTCCCTGCTCCCTGGATTCAAACCACTGACTTTTCAGCCAGTAGTCCTGCCGGGTGCTCAGGGGATGTACAGATGTGTTACCATCCTGTTGAAGGCTTCTCTCATGTCCCTGTATGGGAAGCTGGAGCTGACAGATGGGAGCTCACCCGGCTCCCCGGATTCAAACTTACAACCTTTTGGTCAGCAATCCTGCTGGGTGCCTGGGGATGCACAGATGTGTTACCATCCAGTGGGAAGCTTCTATCATGTTCCCACATGAGAAGTTGGAGCTGACAGAGAGGAGCTCACCCTGTTCCCCGGATTTGAACTGCCGACCTTTCGGTCAGCAGTCCTGCTGACACAAGGGTTTAACCCACTGTGCCACTGGGGGTTCCTATCAATGTAGGTGAAGATGCCATAAAAGCATGGCTCTGTGTTCTCAAAACATGTTCTGGCGGAGTGGCCAGGAGGAGCCCTGTCAGCCTCCCAAGCCACTCCAGTGCCCTCTCCTTGGTCCAGAAAAGGAAAGAGGGCACCGCAGCCTGAGCCGCAGCAGCAGCCTCTCACTTCCAGCAGCCCCTTCTGCCAGGGCTCCCCCTCCCCGCCCAACACTTGTGTTCCCCCACCTTCCTTGGGATTCAACCAGGCAGGCTCTTCTTCTTCTTAGCCACCCTCCTCCAGGCTGAGCTGCCCAAGCACAACCCTCCTCCTCCCGTCTGCAGAAGGGGAAAGCAAAACCCGGTACCCGCAAGCCCGGTCCTGCCTGCCTGCCTGCCTGGCTGGCTGGCTGGCTCCTTCTGGTTGCCTTGCAGCCTCCTCTGCTCCTGCTGCAATGAAGCCCCTCCAACGCCGGCTTCTCCTCTCCTCTCCCCCACCTCAACCCCCCTCTTTCTCTTTCTCCTTCTCTTGCTCCCGCTTTGGGTCCCTGCTTTGAAGGCGCAACTCCGGCAAACTCCGGCAAGAGAGGTGCGACGCTCTCCCCCCGTTGTCTGTCCCGGGATCGTCCCGCCCCAGACAGCCGGGCTCTCCTCTCTTCGCAAAGGGACAGGGGAAGGCGAGGGGACGGGGGGACCCCTTGCCATCACTCTTTCCAGCACCGCCATCCGCATCCCAGGCAGCTGGAAGGAGCCCCAGCAAAGTTTGCCTGGAGGGACCCCCCTGGCCTCCCTCTCCTGGCCCCTCGCTCCCCCCTCCAGCCTTTGGTCGCCCGCCACGCCGTCCCTTGAAGCAACTGCGACAATCCGAGGTTTCCTCCGAGTTCTCCGTCGTGGGGAGGGAAGGCATGAAAAAAAAACCCCAAACACCCCAAAAAGGAATCGCTTACCAATTGCGGGCGGGAGGAGAGACAAGCGGGACGGAGGTGATGGATCGCTCACTGTCTCGACCTCTTCGATCTTCTCTTGCGACCAAACCCAGCCTACCACGAAGGGAGAGATCCGCCCGACACCCCCGACACCCCCCTCCCGCCCCAAAAGGAAGCCGAGGACGGTCCGGACGCTCGTTTCCCGAAGCTGTGCGGCGAGGTCTTGGCTCCTTTTCCCTCTCGGACGCCTTTCCCCGCTCTCTCCCCTCGGATCTCCTCCGACAGCCCTTAGTCTTCCTGGCCGATGCTCCACATGGCTCCTCCGAGGCTGGCGGAGGAACGGCTGCGGGGCTCTTGCCGGCCGGCAGGGGGCGCCGGAGTCACGGCTGGGACGCCGCTCTCCCCAGGCTGCCAGAGAATTGGGATTTCCCCAAAGCAGTGCAGCCGGGCTGGGGATGCTGGAAACCCCACTGCTGGCCCAAAATGTTCACAAGTTTGGGAGAAACCGGACCGTGCAGTGTGGAAAAGGCTACATTTTCCACTTTGTTTGACAGGCAGTCCCCAAGTTACCAACAAGATAGGTTCTGTAATAATAACAAAAACAACAACAACAACACCACACAGCGAGGGCACAGAGATGCCAAACAGATAAACCATAAAATGCAATCAGCCTGAAGCCTATAAATATCTAGGCATATTATAGTTGGACAATATCAAGTATGGGCATGTGAAAAATGTGGTCAGCAAAGAATATGTCCAAAGTCAGAAAGGTTTTGAAGAGCAAATTAAATGACGGAAATATGATCAAGGCTATCAATACCTGGGCCATCCCTGTCATTAGATACACTGCTGGAATCGTGAACTGGACACAAGCAGAGCTGGATGATCTCGACAGAAAAACAAGAAAATTGATGACAATCCACTACTCATTACACCCACGTAGTGATGTCGACAGACTTTACCTGCCCAGAAAATCAGGAGGCAGAGGGCTTCTGCAAGTGAAACAAATGGTAGAAGAAGAGAAACATGCATTGGCAGATTAAGTGAAAGGCAGTCAAGAACCAACTTTGGGGGAAGTCAATAGTAGTAAACTGCTTAAAGTGCAAAAGACAAAGTGAATCCAGAGCAGAAGAGAAAACTGGTGAAAGAAGGCTCTCCATGGACCGTTCCCAGGGAAAAAATGAGAACCAAATTGACAAAGAAAAAACATGGCTGTGGCTCACAAATGGAACTTTGGAAAAGGAGACGGAGGGCCTGATTCTGGCAGCCCAAAGAACAAGCCATTAGAACCAATGGCATCAAAGCCAGAATTGAAAAGTCAATGACAGATTCCAAATGTAGACTCTGCAAGGAAGCAGAGGAAACAATAGATCACATCCTCAGCTGCTTCAAGATCACACTGACAGATTACAAGCAGAGGCACAACACCGTTGCTCAGATGATTCATTGGAATTTGTGCCACAAATACCACCTGCCTGCAACAAAGAACTGGTGGGATCACAAGCCTGAAAAGTTACAGAAAATGAACACATCAAACTCCTCTGGGACTTCTGAATTCAGACAGACAGAGTTTTGGAGCACAATACTCCTGACCTCACAATCGTGTTAAAAAACAAAGTATGGATCGCTGATGTTGCAATCCCAGGCGACAGCAGGATTGCAGAGAAACAACTGGAAAAGCTGACACTAAATGAGGATTTAATGATCAAACTGCAAAGACTCTGGCACAAACCAGTAAAAATGGTCCCAGTGGTGATCAGCACACTGGGTGCAGTGCCTAAAGACCTTGGTCTGCACTTAAACACAACCGGCGCTGACAAATTACCATCTGGCAGCTGGAAAAGGCCACCTTACTGGGATCTGCACACATTATTCGCCAATACATCACACAGTCCTAGACACTTGGGAAGTGTCCGTCATGTGATCCAATACAACAGCCAGCAGAACGATCTTGTTTGCTGTGGACTCATATTGTTGTGTTTCAAATAATAATAATAATAATATTCTGCCCTATCTCCCCAAGAGGGACGCAGGGCGGATTCCAACATACAACAGCAAACATTCAATGCCTCGATACACAGACAAATGTCACCATAATAATTTCAGAGGAACCCCAAATATTATAGGTTTGTTCATAAGTTGAATTTGTTTGTAAGTCATAACAGGTACATTTTTTCACTGTAACCTGTCCGAACATATCTCCTCTTATGAGCCTACTAGAACTTTTAGATTATCTAGGAAGGCTCTGCTCTCAATCGCACCCTCTTCACAAGCGCGATTGGTAGGGATGAGAGACAGAGCCTTCTCAGTGGTGGCCCTTCAGCAAGCAGCATCCCTTCTAGTTTTTAGGAAAAGGTTAAAGACATGGCTTTGCACACAAGCGCTTGAAGAATAAGCGACTGGGGACTTCAACACAGTTTGAATATGGATTATGAACAAGGATCTTGGATGAATGGAACTATGCACTTTATATGTTTTAATCTGTTTACTGTTTTAATGTGTTAATTGACTAATTATTAATCATTTTAATGGAGGGGGCATGTTATTGTTTTTACTATTGATTTTACTGATATTGAATTGTACTGGAGTTGTAAACCACCTTGAGTCTCCTGAGGGAGAGAAAGCGGGGTATAAATGAATGAATAAATAAATAAATAAATAAACTCCAGCCATATATATATGAGATATATGTATGAGATCTAAATCTATATCTTTGGATAGCATAGGAAAGGGTTAACACCCCTGTGGTATTTGTTTTCCTGTCTGTACCTGTGTTTAGAATATTTCACCTTACTTTCTGTCCCTGTGATAATGGGATACCGTGGAAACAAGGATTGGTAAGAAAGCTTCACTGGAGACTCCTTTCCCCCATGATAACTCTTCCAGGAGTGAATTTCCCTTCCAAGGGATAGATTTTTCCCACTTCCTGTTGTCTCATCCCCGTTCGGAACTATGAGTCATTTGCAAGTCAGATGTTTATAACTCGGGGACATCATGATTCAGTGCTATCTGAGGTAGGAGGGAAAGTACTGGTGAGTTGAATTAAGGAGCTTGATAGCAGCAAATTAGCTAGCACAACAATGTTTTTAGCAGCAAATTAGTTACTACAACAATGAGTCTCCCTTCAGGGGTAGAGAAGGGCAGGGTACAAATATTTGAAATAAATAAATAATATAAATTTTATTAAATGAAGAAAAAAGTGGAGGTTCTCAGAACACTAAACATGCAGTGTATTAAAATTCACAATATCACAAGTGTAATATTGTGAATAGATATCAGCGTTCTGATAATCTCACCTGCTTAATCTTTATAGTGGAATTTCTGGAAAGCATCATATGCAGAAATCTGATTAATGTCTTTGTCATCGAGATCTGAATTTAATTTGCAGTGCCACGAGGGAGGGAGGACACCATGTAAGAACACATGAAAGTTTGAGACTACAACATTTTAAAGGAAAAGGTCCAAATGCTTTCCTTTGACCATACCCGACTTCTGACATCACAAACAGGGCAGTGAACTAACTTGGGGCATATCCATGCTGGCATTTCAATGCTTATCTGATTCAAAGTTCCAGTTTTCCTTACCTGACCTTAGCTGTTTCCTTTATTTGTTGCAGAATGTTTGAATCTGATTTTAGCCTATTCTTCCTCCCATTTAGTGCAGTTCCATTCTCTTCACTGATCATGGTGTCTCACTAGTTTCTTCATTCAGAGTAGTAGTTGTTGCTGCTGTTTTGTGGTGAGCCCAGTCACTAGTCTTTCAAGTTTCTGGTCACTACTGCGTTTGGAGATGAAATTATTATATAGGCTGGCCTCATCGCTTGGGAAAACTCCATGTTTCTGCTGTACTTCCATGGTGAAAGTCATATTTTGCATGCAGATGATCCTAGTTTCTATCCCCAGAATCTGAGGACTAGGGATGACCTATGGAGTGGTGCTATGAATTGGTGTAGACCAGTGGTTTCCAACCTGTGGACCACAAGACCTAAAATAAATCCACTCCTCTAGATTACTAAATATGGTTTTCTGTGGGCAAGCAGATGGTAACTATTGGATGGCATATGTTCTGTATCAGAAACTAGAGCTGATGTGGTCTATCCAATGCAATTTTCTGAATCAGCACCCCAAATAACCAAACCAAATCTAAAGTTGACGAAAAACTTATTTGTAATCTTTTTGGTAGTAATGTTGGAGAGTAGTCCCTGGTCAAAAAAAGGTTGGGAACCACTGGTGTAGACAGTCCCCCTGGATCTCCATGGACCAACCACTTTTCAAACAGTGGAAATAACTTTTGGTATTGAAAAATGGCTATTTGCAAATGTAAAGGTCTAGAGGTTCAGAAAAAGCCTTAAATGAAAAGTTGTACCCCACTCAATGTTTGTGATGGTGCAATTATCCATTTCGGGGGCCCATGGTCCCCCCTCCCGGTGATTAGAAGGGGGCACTGGGGCCTTTGGTAGGCCACATTAAAGCAACACAATTCCCACCCCTGTGAAATATATTACTGGGATAAATGGACCAAATTTCTAAATTGGGATAAGGTAGGTTCCTATGTTCCTGTTGTGAGACCTTTCTACATGGTCATTTGTTTTCCTAGGGTTGTACAGCCCTTTTTGGAAAGCACCACTTTGTGTACTTGTTTGAATATGATTCTATATATGCTCTGCCCTAAAGCTGTCTCTTATTTAAGAATGTAAAACAGAAATAGGTGGGATCTATAGATTGGGGGGGGGGGGATTTGCTACAGAGTGTGTCTCCTGAAGCTAGTAGACAATTGTTCACTTCTGGTTTCCTAAAACCAGGACTGAGGTGAGAGCAAAGGCTATTTTACAAAAGAATCAAGCTTCCTGGAAGTTTCCAGGTACACATTCTGATTTTCGTTCTCTTTTAAAAAGGTAACCATTGGAGTAGGGTACGAAATTGGATGGAAAGACCAGAGCTCATACATTGAGTGTTCTTGGTATAGATTGTGATGAAGAAAGCTTGGCAATCCCCTACATTCAGTCAGGGGTTCAGGTTAAAAAGAAAAGCAGAAGCAACCATGATTCCATTGAAATCAGTCACTAAAATTCCAGTCTTATGGCTGATGTAAAGAGCACATGATGTGCAGCTTCCTCAATGCTACAAGCACCCTGGAGTAATTTATGTTAAGATTTCATTCTAAATCTAGGGATCGAGCCGTGTATCTTCCCATGTGTGGAAATATCCACAGACTGAAATCCCAGCACTCCTTACCACAGTCTATGGTGGCTAAGGCTGATAGGAGTTCCAGATTAACAACACCTGGAGGTCGACATGGTTTCCACTCTGTTCTGTGTCATTATTAAAGTCTGTCCTCCATTA